CAAACCCGAAACCAAAAGCCATATTGTGCTATATTATGTGCGCTTGTGTGCGTGTGTATGCGGTCATGTATCTGTGTGGCATTCACTTCCGTTTCATTTGGTAAGCGAGACTGGCAACAGAATGCAAGCTTATGCCAAACGTGGCGACTGCCACAAGCTGCAGGATTAACCTTAAGTGAATGCAAAATGAATGCTCTGCAGGCAGAGAAGCAGAAGAACAAGAGGTTGTTGCAACTGTTGCCATGCGAGCAGCAGCAGCACAGCTGGAGCCCTGTGAGTGCAGCGTCGATATGTCTTCTGCTTCGCTGGCTTGCCAAAGATTACGCATACGCACCGAGAAACAAAAACACCTCAGCTGCCCTCGACCTCGGCTGCCGTCTGTTGCTGTTGCTGGAGTAGATGATGAGGCCACATTTTATTTTTGGTACTTGGCCTGTCTCAGCCAGTTCATTATGTACTCGGACGACGATAGCCCAAATCAAAAGGCAGCGAAACATAAAACAAATGCTCACAATTCGTATTCTTATTGAAATTCAAATTTTCAACAATTTGATGATCAATTTGGCATCAAAGTGCGCGTAATTGGCCAACATCTGCTGTGGGTGGCGGGCCTCCCTCTCTCTCTCTCTCCCTCTCTCTCTCTCTCTTCCTCTCTCTCTCTCTGTGTGTAGGCTTTTCTCTATGATTAATTCATGGCAATTGCTCACTGATCAAATTCGAAGCGCTAGGCAGCATAAGGTATTGACTATGCGCGACTTGGTCAAATGGCTGGCTAAAGGTTCAGTTTGAATGCTTGCCCATGAATCAGGCACTGAATGGTCGAAAAAGTGGCATGCCAGCAATTTAATTGCCAACAAATTAAAAGTCAAATGATAAATGAATCCATGTTTCGGTTAATCGGCAGTAAATGATTTGTTGCTGAAAACTGAACTCGAACTCAGACAAAATAAACAATAAATTCTGACGCATATTTTAACCCGAGTGCAATTAACAACTATTTGTATTTACACAAGGAAAATATTAAATTTTTGGCTATTTTGAGCAATTTAAAGACAACTATTTTCCAAATTGAAATCCATCAAAATATGCACTTAAATTTGGAATGTAATTAAAATACAAATAAATGTGCATTTAAAATCAAAGATATGCATAAATTGGATATGAAGAAATTCCAAATTTTTATGTCTTAGCTATAAGTACCATATTTTATTCATATTTATATATAACCTAAGTAGTTCTGACGGTTTCTCAATGAACAACTTTTAGGAATGTTTATGTTAGAAATAAATATATTTTAATTTAAATTTGTAAATTTTCCAGTTCTTGATGTTTTTTTTTAGTAAAAATGTAGACCGTTTTGTTGATTGAAAATTTAATAGCACCAAAATGTTTCCAGTTCATGGTTCATACAACGACACACACGGCTTCAATTGAAGGCCTGCCTCATTAGTGCATCAGAAATTGCAGCAGGAAATTGATGAGCGCAAAAAAGTCCAAAAGGATATCGTAGACATGGCAACCGCCGTCGGTATAAAAACTTGTAAAGCACCAATGATATTGAGTAGCAGAAGCTGAAAACGTGCTAGAGGAATCCATATATAATTTATAAATGCTATTCAAATGGCCCTCAATGAAATGGTTGAAATCCAACGTGATTCATTCGCGTTCCCTTCATATAAACGAATTTTAAAGGATCTTCAAGCTAAAGCTAAACGTCCAACATTAGAAATTTTCTAAAGTCAAAATCTTTATTATTTAGGGTTATTTGCTGAAAACATTCATAAATAATAGCACAATTTCATTGAAAGTTTCTTTTGTTTTTATATTTAAATATGAAATAAATAGTTTTGATTTTCAAAAATTCGTTATACATTATTTTTTCATGAGCTCGGACCCAATTTAAATTTCACCCATACAAATGTATGCAAATTGTGGACTCGTTTTACGGCATTTCAATTAAGGACCAACTTTTTCAGTCCCAATGGGGGGCTCCGTTAAGCGGAGTTAGGTGTACATCAAATGCATAAATGGGCCAACTCTGGGCTCCGCTTGGCAAAAAGGAACAAATAGAGGTTATAGTCGGGAGCTCCCGACTAGGGGATACCCTGAACCCTCTTCTTCCAGCAGGCGATAGGTATAAAATGAAAGATACTTGATATATATATACGACTCTATAAGCTACATGTCAAGTTTGGTGACTTTAGCTCATATTATTTACCGAAATTGCCCAAATTGCCAAAAAACAGGATTTCGATATCGATTTCTTGGCAACGGGGCAAGTTATCGAAACAAACTCGATCTACGCGGGGACTAGGAGGACCAACAGCTAAAATTTCAGTCTCTAGCTCTTATAGGTTCTGGATCCTTGCGTTCAGACATACGGACAGACGGACAGACAGACAGACAGACAGACGGACATGGCTAAATAGACTCGGCTATTGATGCTGATCAAGAATATATGTACTTTATGGTCGGAGATGCTTCCTTCTGCCTGTTACATACATTTGCACAAATACATTATACCCTCTTTAACCATTTTCAATGTGAAGAGTAGCAAACAAATATTTTAAAACCGGTAAGTTCCGTAATTTAATAAACTTGATTCGCAGTGGGCGTGGCCAGAATATTTTTACCCAATTTGTAACTTTAGCTCTAAGACTGTGAAATATACATATAGATTTATCTTTCCCCAAGCGGTGTGGTCATATATCTATTCGAGGTATCTAGCTTCTTTAGATTTAAAAAAAAGTGGGTCAAAGTGCGTATTGCTGAAAGTTGTCACATATTCCCCTAATTAAGCACCTAGTGCCGTAGTGTGGATGTGGATGTGTATGTCATGTTATGTCCCGAGAAAATAAAACAAGTTTGAACTGTTTGTTGAATTATTATTGCAAATCTAGAAGATCAACAAAAAAAGGGTTTTCAAAGCTCGAAACACCGCGATCTTATTATCATTATTTTGGCTCATTTAATGTCGTTTACCAACAGAACCTAAAAACAAAAACCATAAAATTTATATATTTTATAGATATTGATTTCAAATTTAATATATCTATGCTTAAAAACGTTGGTCTTGACTGTTTGTATACAACTTTTTCTTTAGCATCCTTTCATTTGAGTTTTGAGTGATTCACGCTTTTCAGGAACTCCACAGTTCCTTCGTGGAATTGGGGAACAAAGTGGAAATGGTGGTTGCAATTTTTGAGTTGAAGCTCCATGTCGGAGAATATTTAGGCAAAAATAATTGGAGACAACGATTTTTGAGGCGAATTTTAACCCTCAGCCATATCAAACTTATATTTAAGGATATACTTAAGAAATATATAAAAACGTGTATCAACGCTTGTGAAATTTCCGGAAATGATTGGGTACAACTTTATTGTTTACCAACCAATCGGCTTCAAACTTATTTTTTAAGATTTTTGTGATAATTAATTTGAGACGTGTTCATGCTTCTTGCAGTCTAACCCCTCGCTGCGTTCCCAGACAGGCGGTAATCGACTCAGCTCGATCAAGAATACTTTAGGTTGTCGGAAATGCTTTCTTCTGCCTATAGCAAAGATTTGCACTCAGATTGTTTACCGTTTTTACCCACTTAAATGGGTTCAGGGTATAAAATAGGTTTATTTTCTGATAGGCTAAAACTTAAAGCTTAATTTGGCAAAGACTTCGACGATTTTATTATTGGGCTATAATCCTGATAGGAAACTGGGCACAGCCAGTTGCTCTGTTAACCTATAAATGAAGTCAGAGCCATTTGAAATTGTGTTTTTTATATGCTTTCATAGCACTTGCCATTAAGTTGCGTGAGTATCTAATACAATGATTAAAAAGCTGTTATAGAAAATTGACATTATTCAGCTTATTTTAAATTTTCAACAAGGTTCTTAAGTTTTTCATCTAATCAATGGAATCTACATGCATACTATATGTATTTTCATTCATGTAGATTTGTTATTTTTCGGCATAATAATATATTTTGTGCCGTGTGTGTAGTTTTTCGACTATCTCAGGAATGTAAACACAAATCACTATTAAATATATAATATGTATTTATATATATACTTTTATATATGTATATTTACTTGTGTGTGTGTGTAGTAAGGTGGACTCCTCAAAGCTAAATGTGGCTATACTCTACAAGAGAAAGTTAAGAAGTAAACATAAAGAAGAGCCCAAGCAGCTGGCCCACTCTTGGCTGGGATCTTTGTGTTTAGTGGGCTCAGGCTCAGAAAATTGGTAGCGGATAACAAATGTGACAGGGACACGACAATTGGTCATATGTCACTTGGCTCGTGGTGCGAAAGCCGGATGCCGACAATTAGTGCTGCTAATGAGAGTGGCTGCACTTGGTGCCGGCGGCGTCGTTGGCGATGCAGTCATGGATGGATATTGACTTCATTATTGGCCAATTGAGGGGAGACCAATAAATGACGACGTCATTGGCCAAAATGTAAATGTTTAGACAAAAACTATTTAAACTTGTCTAAATGCTTGCACACCCAAACACAGACACTCACACACACACACACACAGACATGTCGGGCTATGGTTGTGGCTGCGGTCAATGTGGGCAATGATGCAGCGCATCCAGCCCAGTCCGACTGGAGATGAATATGAAATGTATAGCAATTGGGCGCGTATATTGCGTCGGCGTTCGAACAGAGAGACGGCAATTGGCGTGGGCGTGGCAGTTACGGTCGGCACTTAAATAATGCACAGAATAGTTTTATGTCTTAATTATGAGCTAATTTTTAGTATTTTCTCAGCAATAAATCTGTGTGTTGTTCTCTGCGCACAGGCAAACAAAAATTTAACGCCCAGTTCCAGAACAAGTTGTTGTTGTTATTGTAAATTTCAACTATTTCAAATTTTTTTTAAAATATGCAAATGATTTGTTTGTTTGTTTGTTTGTTTGTTTGCTTGTGACTTTGCTTGTTTGCATGATGCGAGCGAACGAGCGAGGCGCGTTTCATGTGTTGTCAAATTAGTTAGCTTACCAATCCGCCCACACCGCAATAGATGGACAGCGAGACAAGCAATCCGATGTGATTCAAAGCTGACTTCCATTTGAGCGACTGCCAGCAGGCGGAGCTGCGACTACAAATGCCGCCGCCGTTCTCGACAGCCTCCGCACGGCGATCCAAATGCTTGAGCTTCTCGAGCAGCTCAGTGTTGGCCTCATCCTGCGGGTCGTAGTCGTTGGGCGATCTGGCCTTGGCGGGCATCGCTTTGCACTACGTGTTGTTAATATTTACAAATTGCACTTTCTGATTTGGCAGTGGTCCCATCAATTAACTGGCGACCAGCGCCCGCCGCTTAAACTGCCTCGAACCATTGCAGTAAATCCCAATGATTTTTAATTTAATCCCAATTAATTTCACTAGCAGCTCGCACGCAATTTAAATACGCGCCAAGTAAAACGTACCGTCGCGAATTGACACCCGAAGCAGCGAACAGCCAAAGGAAACCAAAAGCAACCGCACTCGACGACGGCCAACGAGGCGTATGAGCAACGGCAACGGCAGCGGCAGCGACAGCCTTAGCCGTTTAACAGAATTGTTTGCAATAACAGCGCCATTTTGAGTCTAACAGAACTTTGGCATATTCACAATACTGTTAAACGTTACAGTATGGTAAAATTACTTATTTCCTAATTGCCTATGCTCGGAATGTTTGAATCAGAATATATACATAGCTTAATTGAACCAACTTAAAAATGAGTATAAAGTGGCATCTCTTAACTGTTGCTAAAATGAAATGGTTTAATATGTATTTCCCGATTGCCTTAGTTAAATGCTTTACGCAGTCTACCAATTCCCATAACATTGTCGAAACTGGAACGATTTCTAATCCAATATGTTCTAAAGTTTACATTTTTTAATTCTCGATTGGTAAATTTATTTCCTACTTACTAATAATCGGGAAAACCATTTTTGTAGTCCTTTTTCATATTTTTACTCCATAAAGTTTATGCTTGATCATAATCAAACGGCTAGTTGATAAGGCCATATTCGTCTAAAAAGTCGAACAACATTATCTGGTAGACAGTAAAATATATTGTCCCAGAAAAAAACTTATCAATTATCAATTTTAAATTCAATTTAGATCGCTTCAAATATTTGGACAAAAACCTATATCATAAAGTATTAAAATTTTGTATATCAACTCAAGCGTCACTATAACCACCCGTTTTTATGTTAAATAACATAATTTAAGTTTTTCTGAATTAACATTAAAACGTATTCTGAGAATATAAAACGAAATATATAAATCAAAGCTAACAGCTGCATGAATTCGGAATTTGAATGTATAGAATGCACATTAACTGCTCATAAGAAAAAACAAAATCGAAAGCTAACTCAAGGAATTTCAATTGAGAGGAAGTTTTAATACCATATATGTAGTAATTTGGATATACAATGTTATGATGAACTAAAAATAGAATTGATTCGTTAAAAAAGGGTAAAGACCAAGATTCGGAGCTATAATATTATTAAGAGCTTCAACTAGAATTGATTCCATTAAAATTGGAAAAAGAAAACAAGACTTGGGACTTAGGTTTATGAGCCGAATGTTAAGGCTAGACAGTGGTTGAAACCGTTAACAGCGCAACAGTTTTTCGGACTTGCGGAATAGATGTGGAAAGAAAATAGCATGATATAAACCGATTAGGAATTAAATTATAAGACATCCTATAACCAAGAATTACTGTGGATAGCTTCTGTAAATAGAATTGAAGTTAGACACCAGACTAACGAGTCTGCGGAGTCGTTTGGTGTAGCTTCCAACTTGGAGCATCATTTGGAAGAGTTGAGTAGATTAAGCGGAATAAATGCAAATATCGCGTGGATTGTACTTTTTAGATAACACTGAGCCGATTTCCATTTACATATTTACTTTATTTATTTAATAATACATCAATTAGATTTACATCTACTTAAAAAAAAATCCAAATGGAGCAGATTGAGTTTATGTTCTATTTAAATTTTGTTGCTCTGTGTGAATGTGTTCCATGTGTCGATGTGTATACACACACATACACATCGACACATGGAACACATGTGGTGTGTGTGTGTGTGTGTGTTTGATCGGCATAACTAACATAACGGTGTTTAGGCATTCCAAACATTAATGTTAAAGTTTATGATAGCTGTATGGTAACCGTTCACGGCCTTTAGAGTTCATATGTCAACTAAACGCTCGCGTGACTAGAGCTGTTGATAATAAATTGATAATAAATTAGCAGCCGTGTTTTTTTCAATACCCTGTTCTACAACAAAGTACATGCAAAACATGCGATCAACACACCTATACCATATGTAATGCACCTATGCAACATATAATGCATTTCTGAGTATATTACCCAAACGGTAGGTATGACAATAGAGAATTTAAATAATAAACTGTATGTGGTAGAACAACAAAAATAACTCAATCAAATTAGTTGTTGTCGTGTTGCTTGAGCTAATCCAAATAGCCTTTTGAATGTCCACGGCCGAGGATCCACGTCAAGGCGAATAACTGTCTAACAGAAGGAATAGACTAATCAGTTATATAAGCATAGGCACAGTAATGCAATAATGCTTATATTGACTCACAATATAGAAATAAAAAACAAATATTACAATAAATTAAGTTCTTATCGAACAGCAGATTAACAGATCTTAACATGCAAGCAAAAGTTAAAGTACAATTTCAAAAACCAGGACATTTATTTTAACATTGTTAGTTAGTCTATTTATCTTATAGACTTTACATATTTTGTTGAGCGTTACACATGGTTAAAATATGCGTGCAATTTATAATAAATTAAGTCTTAACCTTTAAGGATTTAAACATAAAACAAACAGAAGCCATTGAAATTACACTAAGCTGTTAAAACTGTTAATAAAGGCATGAATTGCGGAGCATATACAACTCATATTTTTTAAATGTGATTGTAAGTTATATTAAGTACAAATGTAACACCAAGCGCGTGAGTAAGACGAAACGATGTACATGCGTGCATAACAATTAATAATGTGGGTCATTTACCAACTATACAATGTTGAAAAATTAGAAACAAATGAAAAAAAGTGCAGTTGCTGTCCTTTATGCTGGAGGTATTAGCGCAAGCTCCCTTAGATCCGCATCTTTAAGTCTAAATTGGCGCTGGGTGCTGGGTTTCCGATTTTCAATATAACTTAGATTAACTAGAGATTGCAAACGTGATAAAAATAAAAAGGACCTTGCAGTCGGGCATAACCGACTGCTCGAAGCTCGATTCGCCGACTAAATCAGTCATAAGGAGTCTACTTGATTATAATCCAAAGTTAATAGCTGGCTGACCTAAGACTACTAACAACATAAATAAGAACACATCCACAATGTTTCCGTTACGTTAGCCTAAAGAGAGAAAGTGGTAAAAATAAGTTATTAACAATAATAACAGATCATGTTTCTTGTAGGAGACCAAAATGCAACAGGAAGCCGGAAATCAGATAAAATGTTTTGCTATATATTATATTTTGAGAAATGAAATCAGTACGAATTTGAACTCAAATGAAATTGTGTTCTTATTCAAATACACTTTTACCGCAAACCAGCGACTGTGACTAGGAAATGTTGAGTAGAGTATATACGGGAAGCCTCTAGTTTCAACATTCTGCGTTTTCTCTTCAATAAACTCCTTTCATTTCGAGAACCGAGCATAAAAACAGAGAACATTAAATTATACAAATTTCACTATTATAACAATTTATAATTACAGACGGAATATGGGAAAATTTCATCTAACAGTTAATTCGAAATGTTAGGCACGAACGTTAACACCAAATACGTGCATAATAAGACATGTTATGGGACAATTTCATCTAACAGTAATTCGAAATGTTAATGTGAATTATGTTAGGCACGAACGTTAACATCAACTGCAAGCGTGAGAAGAGATCAGATAACTTGCATGCTGTAAGAGATGGCAAAAGATGCATGCAAAATAGAAGAGCACACACACACACACAGTCACATGCCCATGCACACACATATAGCAGTATTTAGAGCGAGACACACAATAAGGCGCGCTGTTAATAACCTTTTGCGTGACGCGTTCATTTAGTTGACTTTCTAAGATTCAAACACTGTCAGAATATCCTCCATAGTGACTCTGGAGTTTGAATGGAGGCTGTTGCTTATTTGAAAATCGGGCTCTAGAAAATTTGAGAGAATAATGGAAGATTAAAACCCACCCAACACAAAAAACAAAAACAAAACACAAAATACAATAATATTATTGACAATACGCACCCACAAGCTGGCCCAGTTCATCGTCATCTAGAGTTGGTATTTCAGCGATCGGCGAGTACGGCGGTTGCGGTATGCTACTGGTGCCGCTGGCTGGCTCACTGGCATTAAAGGTGGTCGCTGCAACAGGCGGTGTCAACTCAGTGTCCACCGTCTCTGACTCACTAGTTTGCCGCGCTGGCGCCTCTTCGGAAGTATTCTGTGCTGCACTGCTGGTTTCCTGCTCATGGGCCGACTTAAAGCTGGTGTCTGACTCTGGTGACTCAAAGCGCACGCTGCGATTAGGTGTTTGCGGCAGGAGCTGTGGTGTATTCTGTCGTGAGGGGGGTGTGTGCAGCTCCCGCACATCCTCAATGGATGTTTGAATCTCTAAAATGTCATCGGTTGTCACATCATCCGCTAGGGCAGTCGACACAGGTGATTTTTCCTTTGAGAGTATCTGCTCCAGTACGTCTGCCGACTGTTTCGGTTCTGCCTCTTTTTCCACAGGTTTCGGTACAGGATCCACAGGCTTCGGGTCATCATCCTTTGGCTGCGGCTCCGGGTCCGTTTGCTTCTGTTCATGTTCTTGCTCAGCTGTTTCCTCATTCTCAGCTTGAGATTGTGGTTTCTCAGCTGGTGCTGCGGCTTTATCAGCATCACTTTCTGGCACTGGCACTGGCACTGGCTCTGGTTCTTGCTCTGGCCCTTCGGTGCCCTCCTCGTCACTCACTGTTGTAGTTACTGTTACTCTTTTAACTGGGGTCGGAGTGCCAGAGCGACGCACGCCCAATGTTTGATAGACGGGCATTTCGTTGGGCACTGTAAAAGGAAATTTATTTAGTTTAGTAATCAGGCATCTTTGACTATGCTCTACTTACCAATATACTCGTCGCCAGCTTCGTTATCTACATCCTCCTCCTCCTGACTGTCATCGATGCGCAGACTGGCCAAATCGTTGACTGGAACACGCAGTGCCGGTCGCTTGAGCTTAGTGGCACGTCGGCCGCCGTTGCAAGAGGACGGGCGCCCAGACCGCTTGCTTGGACTGGTCGAGCTACTAGCAGAACCCAGTACCAAGTCGTGTTTAAGCTCAATGTCCTCGAGCACGTTTCCAGTGGCATCGACACGTTGCAAACGCGTTGGCACTGAATTGCACAATTTAGACAGCAGCCTGGGCGTACCCGCAATGGACGATGATTTGCGCGGTTTACTGCCAAGTATCTCGACAGCTTCACTAAATGAAACAGACAGCTTCGATTTGGACTTTCGATTTGCGCGCTTTGGTGTGGAGGTGTCTGCGCCTGTTAGGCGCTTCAACTTCACCACGCATTTAAAGAAGCGAGCGCCATAACGCTGAACCAGCGCCTTGCTGACACTGTTTGGCCTGTCCTGTTTGAGCGATCTTTTCAGATTTGGCGGCGGTGTGTGTGCACGTGAAGTTGTCTGCGTGGCTCGTTGCTTAGCACCGTTCTGCATCCAGGGTACCTTGATGTGCACCTTGTTAATGGGTTTTTGCTTTTTGGGTGGCGACGGAGAATCATCCAGCATTGAGGAATCTGACGCACTCTTGCGTGGTCTGCCGCGTTTGTTGGCTTTGCGTTTGATTAAACGTTCAATCTCTGACTGGTTCAAGCGCTTGATGCGCACCAAGCATTGTCTAATGCCTGCCGAGGTGCCAACTTTATTCTTTGAAGTCGTTGGCACATCTGCAAACATTTTCTGTTGCGCCTTCGTCTTGGGCGGCTGTGGCTGCGGATGCTCATCATCCTCTTCCTCACCGTCAGCATCGCCGTCGCGATCGGCGTTGTCGTCCTCTTTGTTGTCGCTGTCAAGCGTAGGTTGCCTTGAAGTGGCATTATCATCAGCAGCAGTGTCATCCACTATTGCTTTGTCATCCTCCACAGCTGTAATATATTGGATTTTATATTTTTAACGTACATTTCGAGATTTTTCGTAACTGACCTAAATTGTAAATGGGCGATGCTGGCACCGGCGAGCGGGGAAGTGCAATTTCAGTGTCGGATTCAACCTCTGCAATTCATTTGTGCTTAGATTCAATCTGAGTGTTTTTTAATTGTCGCATTAGGACATACCTGGATTAAAAATGGGCGATATTGGCAATGGCGACGGCGTAGAGGGTTTTTCTTTCGGGTCTGCGTCTGCTCCCGCCTCAGCCTCTGGCTTCGCTGCTGTCGCCTCGCGTACGCTCGGCGGTGGTGGAGCTGCTCGCACCAAGTCGAACAAATCCATTGCGATTATGATTGATAGTTTTTAGCTATCTTGTTGCGTCCACATCCACAAACACAAGCTCAGCCACACTTTAGCTCGGGCCGCCTAAGCTTCAGCCCCAAGCGAACGAAGCGCGAAAACCACACGCGTAAAAAAAAAAACATACACAGCAAATAAAAACGCGAAACGAAATATGGCTCGTACTTGTCTATACGCTTCTTCCGTCTCTTTTATATGCAACTTTTTTATTCACTTACCGTAGCTGCAACAATTTTCTCTAACAAAAATTGTGGCAAAAAAAAATAAACGCGGATTCCTACTCTATTGCAGAGAGACACCGACGCCGCTGTGTAGTGATGTAAAATGTACCATCGATACATCGATTTAAAGATGTCGATATGTATCGGAATTAGCTCGGCTATACGGGTATACGGTATACAATTACAGTTAGTAATTAAACGGAGCGCAAGTTGCGAATTATCTTGTGTTTATTGTGTTTTTGTGAATTGTTAATCATTTTATTTTTATACAATTACTCTAAAGTTTTGCTTTAGGAGTAGTTAAGCAGATGGCTGTAAGGATGATGTATGTCTGATAACATGTTTCACAGCTTACTTAGAACAACATTTTTCCCAACAGTCGGACTGGCAATATACATATGTATATTGTATTGTGTTATTAAATAGTTTTTGTCATACCATCATAAATTATTTAATTTTCCTGTTTTTAAGTTCAACGAATTCAATACTATTACACTCTCTGCAGTCTGTTGCTTCTCCCGCCAATTATCGATTACAATATTAAGCTACTGGAACAATTTGATCGCCAGATTTGATGTAAAAACGAGCTTAACTGGCTGACCTGGGAGGATTGATCGGCCTCCACCACAGCTAATCGAAGGTACATTGAGGTGATGGGCGCGTTAATTTAAAGAACATAAGTTTTCAATTGGCATTTTATTCACTTTCATTGTATAATTGGTTAATTGCAATAAATATGATTTTGTACAATTAGTTGGCGAATTTTTGCAGGCAGCAAGACATTGTGCAATTAGCAATTGTTTGGATTTGTTTCGTTTACATTTCGATTTCTGAGGATAACACCTTCAAGACTAGCACAAAAACTTCGCCGGCTCAGCATATAAATATGTATAAAATATAAGTAGTACATACAAAAGCTATGTAAACATATATAGATAAAAGAATACTTTGCGTAGACAGGGGCGAGTGGTGAGTTAATTAATTAATTGGGCGGCGAAATATATAAAAAAAAAATAAACAACGGCTCTAAATAAAAATAATAATAAACAATTAAATACATTATAAAAGTACAAACATTTGCTGGCGTTTCTATGTCGTGTTTATATATATATATTTATATATATATATATATATATATATATATATAGTGTGTGTGTGTGTGTGTGTGTATGTGTGTGTTTGTGTGTGTGTATATATATTGCAGTCGAAAATTGTCATGTCCGGCGGCTACTCTGTCACGGCACCGCACGGCTTTTAAATGTACACCTTGAACGCGCTCCAGCCATGGAAGCACTTTGTAAAACGTCGCGACTCCTTGTTTTTCATAGTGAGGAACAGTTTGCGCGGTCGGTCTGGCTGCTTAATGCGCATGTGCTGTATGTAGACCTGGGCCGATTTGTAGGCCAGCTTCACTTCCACCTCGCTGCAACGCGGCCCCATCCAAAGAAAGACGTGCTCACCATTGTCGAGTATCATAATATCATCATCGGCCAAATCGTCCTGACAGAAGTCTGCGCACTTCTCAGCCACCGTATAATAGCCCCGCTCGTTGGAACAGCGAAACAGTCGCGTATAGTTCATATAATCAGCATTCGTGTCGTATGGCTTGCGACCGCCCAGCGCCACCCAAAAGAAATTTTCCGGCTCGTCGCCCTCGTTGAGTATCTGTGGGTTTGTCAATTTATAAATGAATCACTCTATATATATATATTGAATAATGATTCATTGAGCTGATACTCACCTGCAGGCTCACCCAGGGACTGTTAAACATCTGTTCGGCTATATCCTGCACCAGCTTTGTCTCCTCGTTCAACGCTTTGCTGCCCAGCCAAACGTACACAATGCCCGACTGTGACTCGTCCTCCGTTTCGAATGGCACATGAAGAATATAGCTGGGCGATTGAAAGAGATCATTAATATTATCATATTATATTAGCTCCTAAAACAGTTTATGATTTTGAAAAATCCACCATCATGAGCGGTAATTAGGTGAAAACCCAAATAGGTTACATTCTAAGCTAAACATAGAGCTCTAATGAATCTCAGTTATACCATGAACTGGGTAATAAACGATAATAAATAAAATACAAAAAGGGTCGTTCTCAAAACTTACCAGAATGCCGAGTTCAGATGCACAGCATCCGGCTGGATTTGTATGAGTCGTGTGGTCAATGCGCCGCCATTGGAGCGCAAATGGAAGAACTCAACGGCGGGTTTGCCATCGGGAGTGAGCGCCTTGTCCTTGCGCTTACCCGTATGGATGATGAACTTGCGCTTGAAGTGTGACATGAACTTGAGGTTCTCCTGCTGCTGAAAGATGCGCATGACCTCCAGCTCCTCGCCGAACATTGCCTTGAACTTCTTCTGCAAAGTAAACGTAAAGGTCAGCCAGCCCATATTGCCGGCATTGCGTCCCTGCCAGAAGTAGACAACACACTCGATCTCATCCTCGGGCGGCGAGGATTTGCTATCATCACCATTCGCCTCGGCGCCACCTTCGCCAGCATCGACATCGTCGACAGGTATGCAGTAGCGGCAAAGGAAGACATAGCATTCGCCCGTATAGAAGTGTCCGAGCTCCTCTTCGGGCAGGCGGACAAACTTCTTGTTCTCGAGCACAAAGGCCTCCATCATCTCGAGATCGTAGTTCCATTCCTCCTCCAGCTGCTCGGCTTCAGCTAGCGGCATCGCGCTCTGGCGTGGCATAAACAGCGCCGCCAGATCTGTGCGTGTCTCCTGCTGGCGCGCCCATTGCGTCAAATTGGCGCCCGTTTTAGCCACCGATTTGGCGGTGCGTGTGAAATCAACAGCCATCACCTCATCCCAGCCGGGGAATTTGGTGCGAAAGATTTGCATCTCGTTACCCTCCGGGACGCGCATGACCAGCGCACAATCCGGCCGCTCCAGCATGTTGAACAGCTCGCGGCTCAGCTTGACGGCGGCGGCGCGCACCAATCGGGTCGACTTCTTGCCAAACCAGACAAACAGATCCGTATAGCAGTCGAGGATGTAGACGTGCTTGCTGTTGAGCAGCGTATGGCTGAGCTTCTGCTCGGGCAGCTCCACCTGCGGCAGCTCCAGATAGCCCATGCCCAGCTGTACCTGATAGAGGCGCGGCTGTACTGGCGCATAGTTCTCATCGATGTGCTCCTCGGGCGGCGGCAGGTTGGCCACTTCCTCCGGCAGTATATTGAATGGCTCCCAGAATTCTGGACTCTCTGCTCCCTGCATATCGACCAGAATTTCGCACTTATTCTTGCGCTCCGTCTTGTTGATCTTCTCGGCCATGAGGCGCGCCTTAGAGTTGAGCGTGTTCTTGGAACGCTTGCCCAGCCAGATATGTATCCGTGTGCCTACATCCAGGACGAAGGCGTGCCGCGGATCCAGCGATTGCACTACCACAGCCATTGGCTCTAAATGAATACTTGCCCCATATGCATGCACCAGATAGAGCCGTGTTATGTGTATCATCTCCTCGATGGTATAGAAGCCGGTAGCAGTGCGTCCACCTTCAATGTAAATCACTTCCGTCTCGAAGAGGGCCAGAAATTCATCGGATTCGTCGCCCTGCTCCTCGCGTATCGTGCGACATCGTGCGCCCAGATAATTACGCAAATTGACCGCATGAATGGCGGCACAGGCGCGCTTGTCCAGCGTCGCCTCGTTCCCAATCCAGAAGTAAATCTCCCAGTTGAGCGTGTGCAGCTCATCGAACTTGGTCTTAAGGACAATGTAGCAGTCACCCTCGTAGAATTTGCCATGCACCACCTCCTCGATTTTGTTGGGCAGAAAGTTCTCGATCTCCCAGATGGTTAGGCCCGGCTGCTGGCCATCCTCCTTCTCAAAGAACTTGGAATAGTCCAGCTGTGGCTTCTCCAACGATTCGTCCCAACGTTTGGGCTTCAATGACTCTGTTGGCAACGCATCACTATCGTCCTTCTCTTTGTCCTTGGCCACATCCTTCATACCCTTTAGCACCTTGGCCGCATCCTGACCGCCATCCTGGCCCTCCGTACGTGGACCCCGTCGCAAACGTATCTTGCGTGCCGTCGCATCCTTGGGCGTTGGCGCGGCCGGCATCGAGGCCGGCACAGCGGCCCCAGCCAGTCGCAGTTGCGTCTGCAGCGAGAAGTCAATGTTGTAGAACTCCAGGCTGGTCGCTTTGCTGGCCTCACTGGGCTTGGGCGGCATCACCAGCTCCGGATTGTCACGCAGATCCAGCTGATCGAGCCCCTCCAGCAGATGTATGGCATCTGGCAGTGTTATTAGCCGATTGCTGCTCAAGTTCAGCTGCTTGAGCGCGCCGCATCTGCAGAGGCCCTCGGGCACCATCTCGAGCAGATTGTTGGCCGCCGAGAAGCACTCAAGGGCGCCCAGCTTGCCAATGCCCGACGGTATTCCCTCAAAGTTAAGTTTGTTATCGTTGACAAAGAGGCGTCGTAGCCGCGACAGCTTGCAGAGGGCGGCGGGCAGGACAGTCAGCTGGTTTCGTGATAAAATCAGCGACTCGAGACGCTGCCACTGGTCCATGCTGGAGCTGAGCTCATTAATCTCATTGTCACTGAGGTTGAGGCGGACCAGCGTGGCCACATTGTAGACGCAGTCGGGCAGCTTGGGCAGTGCATTGTGCGAGAGATCCAGCTCCACAAGATTGGCAAGGCTGTCGATGCTAGTGGGAAAGTTGAGGAGCGTGCGCTGTGTGTTTCTCATTTTGAGCACCTCGAGGCTCTGCAGCGAGGGCAATTGACGCAGTTGGAACAGCTCCAGCGGATTGCTGGACAAGTCCAGCGTTTTTAAATTGGTCAAACGGCGCGTTTGCGGCGGCAGCGTCTCTAGGCGATTGTGCGATAAATGAGAAAGAGCAGATCCGTCAGATGTATAAACAGCGCCGTGGGTATGCTCTCAATTTGATTGGAGCTCAGGTTAAGCACAATTAGATTCTTCGCACGCTCCAGACCCTCGGGCACCTCCTTCAGCCGGTTGTGCGACAGATCCAATGTGGTAAGCTCCTCCAGCTGGAACAGCTCTGGGGGTATGCCGCTGTTCTTCAGCTGATTGTGGCGCAAATCTAAGGAGCGCAGGCACGTCAGTTCCGTTAGCTCGCCAAAGAGCTTTTCCAGATGATTATGGTTTAGGGAGAGGTGTTCGAGCTTCTGAAGATGTCCCAGCTCCTCGGGTATTTGCTGTAGCTGTGTGTGGTCTAGTGTTAGCCACTGGACGCGCGACATTTGCCGCATGGAGCTGGGGAATGTTTTCTGCAACAACAAGCAGTGGTTATAACGGTAAGCGGCTGGGCAATGTAAACAAAGCGCTAACAGCGCAGTTAATGTCGGCGCCGACGTTGACGCCGACGTCAACGTCAACGTCAGCAGCTGTGCGCTGCTGATGACAAATTCGCCGTGAATGGTTACTTTTTTTCTTTTTTTTCCTATTTGGAGCAATGACTGAACCGCTAATCTAAGTCTGGGGTTGACCCGCTTGTGCAGGTGCAGTGGCCAGCAGCTAGCGACCAGCACTTAATTTAGCATTTACATTTACATTCCGCATTTAGCTCCACAGCAGCAACAACAACAACACACAATACTTACGCTGAAATCATTTTTCGTAAAATCAACGCCGCGGACAAACGGTAAAACACTCATCCTGGATATGCTACGCACTCTACTGCTTCTGCTTCTTGTGTGGGTGCGGGGAGTAGCATAAAACTAACAATTTTACGTCACGGACACGAAGACGGACGGCGAAAACGGCTGCGAGCCCCGTTCTTGTTATTGCTATTTCAATGAATATATGTGCCTGTGCCTGTTCTAGCGATGGCAAAAGTATCGATATGTCGACCACATCGATGATAACTTAAAAATATTGCAATTGCCTTGCTCGTGCAATGGTTCAAAGCAAACATATCGATATTTAAACATATCGATATTTTCTTTGAAATGTGCATTTTAAAGTTTTTTTTTTCAGATATTTCCGTATCAGTTAAGATTAATCATTGATTCCTATACATGGCTTAATAACTTGTGCTCTCGAATTGCATGCAAAATAAAGGTTGTTTCAAAAAAAAATTAACGCGTAAACAAAACATATCGGATTTATTTTATTAATTTCGAAACTCAATTTATTTTTGCAGCTAGTAACTTTGTAAGTTCTATTCGACTCACTTATGACGTATCCAAAAATATATCACGACTGAATATAGGACGATATCTTGCTTGTGCAACATATGTCGTAGTGGGCCGATGTCAACAGGTCAGATGCAATCTTTCAAACGAGATTCAAATGCTTGCGCATATTGATGACATTGAAGAGATCGAAATGGCAGTGAGCACAGCTAAGCTTTCCTTGAGATCAATAGAGAAAGAGAGAGAGAGAGAGAGAGGTAGACAGCGGGAAAGGGAGAGAAAGAGAGAGAGAGAGTGAATTAACTTATGAACTTATGCACTTACTACTATAAACGGAAACTGAAGTGACTACTGCAACATTTATAACTTATCAATATTTTTGTTTATACTTAGGTACAAAAATCAGTTTCTATTTAGTTGTCTTATAATTGTTGTTGAGCCATCAATTTCCAAAACGCAAATTAGTTTGGTAGACCGGTGTTTCCATGCTGTGTGATTTTTGCCGATACTTTCTGTGCGCGTAGGTACACACTGGCAATGTGTTGTTCGAAACGGGGTGGGAAAATGCGCATGGAGCGCAAGAGTGCTGAAAGGACTTCAGTCTCCTGTTATCCTGTAACTGCTAAGCGTCTCCTCTATGGCATATCAACATCGCATGCATTATCTAGAGGGTGTGACCAAGTTGAACGACAAAAAATTTTCATACTTTGCTCAGTCTTCGGAATGTGAAGTTCCTGCAGGACATTTGTCTCAGCGACGTAGCAAGCAGCAATAAAACTAAAAACTTAAAAAATCTAAAAGAAAACCAATTCAATTGAATTCAACAGAAATCACAAACAACTACAGTGAAAATGAAAAAAACTTGCCAAAAAAAGTGCTTCGTGGACGTCTAAATTACCGTTTCGTGGTTTCGTGCCAGGCAAAAGAATTTAAAAGTAAGCAGGATGCAAATGCTAATGCGGCGAACGCAGAGCTTCTCAGTTTTCAGCTTTGTTTGTTGTGAAAAATTGTGTACCCATTGTGCAAAAAGGGGAGTGTTTGTTGTAATGTCCTGTGCCGCAGTCATCAGTAAATGCGACACGCAAAAAATTATGCACATAGATGCAAACTATGTAAATGCAATAAATCACATTCACAGAATTTGAAAAATGTATATGTATGTATTTGTGGGAGATACATATGTACATAGTATTCAGGACCTGTTTTTCGCGAAAGCGTTGTTATTAAAAGCTTCAGCGGCCAAGGATGCGAGGGCGTGTGTCTTATTATGCGTGTCCCAAAAAACTAGCAATATATGTACATGCATACATATGTATGTACATGGGTGTATACACATATATTTATATACATATATATATAAATTTTTATATATATATTTAAATATATGTACATACATATTTGTACATATATACATACATACACACGCACGCACGCACACATGCGCCCAGGCTGCTGCCTCTGTTTGAGGTGGGCGTGTAGTTTGGCGCTGTAAGCTGCTGTGGTCGCATTTGTAACGGTAACTGTCGAATCTTACAATGCCCAATTGGCTAAAAGCACTAAGCCGCAACAACTAACTAAGCGCAAGATGCTGCGCTGCATTTTGCTTGTTGGCATGCATGGGTGGGGCGGGTGGTGCAGCAATTACGAGTGCGTGGCACGAGCAAAACGCGAGACCAAGCCATAAGGAATAAGGAAACAGTGCAAACTTTTAATCAATAGATATACAAAAACACACACATACACAAACCCATACGACACGACGAGCAGGACAAAAGCAACAATAACGGGAGTAGCAGCAACAACAACAACAAAGAAAAGTATAACAGCGTGAGCGCGCAAGTGGCTGAGAGAGCTTAGCGAGAGAGAGAGAGAGTGAGATGGAGAATGGCAGACTGATACTGCGAGAGAGTGAGCGTGAGTCAATGAGCGCGCGCCTGGCCGTTACCTTTTTACCGTTACTCGTACTCGCACTCGCAATCGTTGCGTTGCCATTTTCGTTGCCAGCAAGAGCAAGCAGAGCAAGAGGAAGACAAGTGAACAAAATTGCTATTGCGCTGGGCAGCCGCAGCATCAATAACATAGCACGAGCACGGCGTGCAGGCGGGCGGTCGGTCGGTCGCTGAAGCTGAGATTTAAGGGTGTGCGTGTGTGAGTGGTTTGCATGGGGAAGTAGGGCTGAGAAAAAAATGGGAGCAAGAACGCGTTGCACAGACAACTTTTAATTAAACTGCTGCAACATGGCTCATTTTGGGCTGCAAGCGTTCGCCCACATGCTTATTAAATAATAAAGACGATGCCCACACATGAAAACGAGAATGAGAGCACACACAGCCCCGCATCAGGAAATATAAATGTTTTGTTTAAAGTGTGCAAATGTGTACAATATCTTATTGTAAGGCTGAGCAAAGTGTTTACAGTCAAATTTCAATTACTTTTGACTTGGTTTTTCGCGAAATTCTTGTGCGCACCTGCCCATTCGCATGTAAATCTCATTTGTGTTAACTTATTATTCATTTAGGCTTTCAAAAATTGTGCTAAAAAGTGAACGTCTTGGAAAATACCGTAATGGACATTGCTTTTATTGTATCAGAAGTCAAAAAGTGCCTATGTCATAATTGTGTTAAGAGTATTTTTTTTTAATTCATGGTAGATAGCTCTGCTTAACACACACAGCCTCCCACACATACATACCTACTTAACATCTAAGTGCGTTCCATATTCTATACATACACACACATGTATGTACCTATGCATATACCGAGTACACCAAACACATATATGTATCTGAATAGCGGTTGGAACGTGCCAAACCACGCCTAAATTTTTTTATTTTTTTTTTTTGAATGAGCTACATTCTTGAAGAGCCCTACACACTAATTGTGTTTCCTTGTTGTTGTTTCCCCCACATTGCCACAGTGTGCGACAGTTTGATGTCAAGAGTTTAGAACTCTGCCCTCAGAACACACGAAGCATAACAACGACCAGGACGAGGACGCGGACGCGGACGAGGACGGCACCTGCAGGAGCATCGCACTCCACACCGTCTCCATTTCCATCTCCAATCCACGCAGCACTTCATTTGGGACCACTTCACAAGCACTTAGTACGCATTAGGCGGCCAATCCCAAAACCAGGATGGGCGACTATCACGAGTTTACGGATCAGTACAAAGTGCCGGTGATAGCCAAGCTGCTGCACGCTCTGCCCCACTACAATATCACGTTCCACAAAATCAACAGCACGTTCCGGCCCAACGATGAGATCTATCTGGAGGTAAGACCAAACCGCGCCAACACCTCACGTTCAATACAGTAAACCATCAGGGTCACGTACATGATAGTCCACAAAGAAACCCAAAGGAAAGAATTTGACTTGGGTTGCCTTTGGTATAGTTTTTATAATTACCAGTTTTGGTGCTCTCGAGAGAATGCATTCAAGATATAATTATAAAAAGCCATAAAAATAGGTATAATTATTAAATAACGTTACTTTTAGTTAATAACTGCCTTGTTATTTAATTTTCAAGATTTTATTTTTTACTATCAATATTATTTAACGTAGTGTGAGACAGTAAGGTTACTATTAGAGTTGATATACGTTAAACTTTATTTGAACTTATCAATTTTTTGTTTATAATGACAATTAAGATAAGCGTTATTGAATTGTTCTCTTTGAGTACAAAGAAGAAAATTGTGCTTCGATTTTCCTGGTTGAAGTTTCCATGGAATAGTCCATATATGCCAGATAACTATATCATACTGCTGCCATTTAAACAAGCAGTCGAAAATTATGCTCGACTTTTTACGCGTATTTTGTTCAAATTCATAAATAATTAATCCGAAGATTGGCCACAAATTGGGTGGGGCTTCGGAAAGTGTTTCGTTCAGCGAGTACAAAACAATACGATAATATATTAATTTAAAATTATAATCCATATAGAATTACTATACTATGCAGTAAACGATAATTGATCGATTAGTTATTGACAATTTGTCGATTATGTATCGATAAGTTATCGTTACCGTTATTAATGTGTGTGCAGAGCATATTAGGGTTTCGCAGCCCGAAGAGACATTATTGACATTATTGATTCCACCATATCGAAAGTACACTGTACTCAGTCATTCATCAACAATATTCTTTCTCACGCGCTATCTTCGCCATCTGGGCACAGAGCCTGGGCATATTGGGATCGGTGCCGGCAGCGCTGCTGATTGTCTCTTTGCTGGGACTGCTGTTTTATTTGATGACGCGCTGCTGTGACCGGAAGCCGCGACCGGCGCACTCCATAACCAGCTTGAAGGTGGCACTGTCCATAGTTACGGTGATGTGCTGTGCGGCGATTGGACTGGGCCTCTATGGGAACGATGATCTGCACAATGGACTGCTGGAGGTGCTCACAGCTGGACGCAAAGTGGACAATTTGGTGACAACAATACGAAATCAAACGCACATACTGGAGAATACGCTGACCAATCGCATCAGGCCGCAGCTGGTGGAGCTGGCCGATATTTTTGATCAGCCGGTGTCCAATCAGACGGCGCTCTCCAAGCTCTTTGTCTCGCTCAACATTGTGCAGGGTAATGTGACATTGGCAACGAATGCGGCCAGCGATATACGACGTCCACTGATGGGCATCTCGATGACGCACTTCCTCACTGTGAGTACCGTTGTGCAGTTGCTATCGATTCACATGCTCGCATTATTATAATTCTATTTTGTGACACTTGCATAGCGCGGCGACCAATGGGAGCTGATTCGCTGGCCGGGCACGGTGGCAACTCTGGCTTTGCTGCTCGTACTCTGTGCCGTCTTACTCGTGGGCGTGGCACGGCACTCGCGCTGTGCCCTAATCCTGTTTAGCGTATGCGGCCTGCTGGCCGTTACCGGCTCCTGGCTGATGTCCGGCCTGTATCTGTCATCGTCGGTGGCGGTTGGCGATCTGTGCATTAGTCCAGCCGATTTTCTGGTCTCGACAGCGCCACGGGATCTCCCAACGAATGTGCTGCTGCACTATACACAATGCGAGCCGGGACACACGAATCCGTTTACCCAGCGACTACGCGAATCGCAAAACTCCCTTAACAATGCCCGCAGCGCCATGGCCACCGTGATGAAGATCTCTCTGGTGCTGTTCAAGAGTTCGGGCCTGCAGCCGAAATTGGGTGCGGTGAATGCGGATTTGAACAGTAGCGAACGGCTGCTCACCCAGCTGACCGCCCTGGTTGACTGCAAGGCGGTGCATCACAATTTTTTGGCCGCGGCCCGTGGCCTCTGTGAGGGCGGCCTGTTGGGCCTGGTGCTGATGCTCATTGCCAGCTTCATAGCGGCCATATTGCTGACGATTATGGTGTGGGTCGATTCGCACACATGGATCTATATACGCAAGCGTAACGACTATGCCCAGGTGGATGAGCCATCGTATATATCGCATCCGGCGCCACAGAATCATCAGCAGATGATGAATGCGGCACGCACCCTGCCGCGAAACCATAACGGGTAGGTGTTAATTGATCCCTAGACTGATCCCATTGCAGCTCGGCAAACCGCTCTCATTGCAGGCACTTCAGTCCGCCGGTGATCAGTGGCTCCCACACGTTGCAGCATCCCAACAAGCGACAGCAGCACGAGATGATGGCCCACGCACACATCCAGCAAAACATGCGGGCAATGGGCACCCATACGCTGGGCAGACTGCCGTCGCACAACCACAGCCCCACCCACATGACTGGTAAGTCCGAGTACCGCCAGCTGTCCACCACCAACACCATTACCACAATGCCATCAGTAGCACTTTTAGCATTACCAGCACAATCCCTCCGCTCTATCTCTCTCTTTCACTCTCTCTCTCTCTCTCTCTCGTTTTGAATCTCTGTTTCCTTTCGCTGCATTATCTGTTGGTTGTGGAAATCTTAAGAATATACTTATAAACAAATAGGGCATGAGTTTAAGTCCTTTGAAATCCAAATTGTTCAGTTTTCAAAGGGATCAAAAATGTTTTCCCATTTAATAGAGAATTTATTTTAAAGGAACAAATCTTTTCAATGCCTAAAAATGAATCTGAAAAGCCAAAAAATTGTAGATCTGATTAGGAATCATGCCCATAAAATAGAAAAGAAAACTTTATGAGACTCTGTTTGTAGGCCGAATAATTTCTGCAATAAGAATTTGTTTTTTTTGTTTCCCTTATCATTATTGATTAATTTGAACGTTATCCTTAATTAACATTGTTTTATTTTGTACACAATTCTAGTTTTTTCCTGGCTTTGAACTTCATCAAATAGATTTATCTTATATTTGAGTCGAGTTTCGAATCTTTCCCAAATCAAAAATCAATCAAATATCTTGCTATTTTAAGTTTAAGCCAGGCCCTCGCGCAATCAAGTCAGCATTGGTTCGGTTCACGAGCCTGGTTTTGCACATCCATGAAACAAGTTTTGGCTCAAACATGGATTTGTAATATATTTTTTGACCATTTTTGAAAAATAAAATGGTTCAGTTCGGGTTTCGGTTCGGCTGTTCTTCGGCAGCTAGTTTGCTTTGAGGTTTTGTTTTGAACCGGTTTGCAGCCTGTAAACCTTAACTAAACCAAAAATCTACTTGGTGTCTTGGTGTCTTACTGAATTTCGCCATGAATCATATCTTCAGATTTCCAAACAATACTCTGCAGTTCTGTAACCGCTGCCATTTGCAATTGAATCGCAGGGGGAAGTAGTCGTTTCTTGTACCGGTTCAGTTTTGGTTTGGTTCGGATCGGTCTGCCAACTGTTGTAATATTGTAGGACTCATTGTTTTTGCGTACTTTTGTTTTTATGCTCACTTGCCTCATTCTCATTCCATGCGTCCGACGCCCGTCGACTTCCACGAATCCGCCACATCCGTATCCGAATCCTCATCCGCCTTGCTAATTGTGTGTACATTTTAGGTCCTAATAACGGTAAATATGCAACCCTAAGCAAACAATGCAAAACTTTGGAAGCCAATGACTTTTACTGAAAATCGTCGCCAGCCGCCGCCGTCGCCGCCGCCGCAGCCGCTTCCTCCGTACCGCCCACCACACAGGCCCAGGTGGCCCAGGCCCAGGCTCAGGCCCAGGCTCAGGCCCACGCTCATGCCCAGGCTCAGCAGCAGCAGCAACAGCAGTTGGGTCCGCAGCCAATCTACTGCCATCATCCGCACCAGCATCCGCACGCGCATCCGCACGCACATCCCCATTCGCACTCGGCCGCAGTTGCCGCTGCCGTGCAGCACCAGCACGCCATTTACCACCAGCAACAGGCGCAGGCCCAGGCCCAGGCACAGCAGTATGGCACATATACGACGGCCGCGGCGGCACATGCACATGCGCAGCAGCATCATTTGCCGCCGCCGGGTCAGAGCCAGATCTATCAGCAGATACCGGCGCATTTGGCCGGTCAACTGGCGCCCAATGGGAATCCGCATTCCATTTATCAGCCGCTGGTGGCGGTTAGCCAGGGATCCATTTATGTGTCCAATTTGGCGACAATGCGCCGCCAAAATAGCCAGGGTGGGCCGCAAATACCGGCGCATCACCACCAGGCCTCAGTGCAGGCGCAGCCACCGCCAAATCCACACCAGCAGCAGCAACAGCAACCGAATCCTCATGCCCACCAGCAGCAGGCGCCACAGCAGCAGCAGCAGCAGCCGCCGCCGCCTTCGCAGCAGCAACAGCAGCAGATGCTACAGCATCAGCTGAAGTCGCCGCAGCAACAGCAGCTGCAGCAACTGCAGCAGCAGCAGCATCAGCAGCCACCGGAGGCGGAAGTGGTGCCCATTAGTACCACCATGGATACGGCCATATACGATCGGGATAAGCAAATTTACAAGTGCTCCACACTGCGCCAGGGCGGCAAATTTGATCCCAAGTACAAGCCATCAATACTGAATTGCCCACTGCCTGAAATACCCAAAGATGCGGAGCAGCCAAAAGTGGAGTCCATCTATCAGCAGCAGCAGCAGCATCAGTCGCAGAACTATTCCAAGTAAGTTGGTAGCCAAATTCGTTTGCCGTCTCAAAACCGATTCCGATGCCACCACATCTTATCCTTGTAGAACTTTGCAACGGCCACCAATGAAGCTGCCGCCGCAAATGAAGGCCATACCGCCGCCACGGATTGGTACGCCCACCTCGCCGCCGCCGCCAACAGCTCAGGTTGATGCGGCGCTGCAGAATGGCGGCGGCAATGATGATGCCGCCCTGCCACCGCCGCCCATGGAGGCGCAGACGCATCTGGGCACCAGCGTGGACGCCACGCCGCCCAAGTCACGCATCCAGGCCGCCAATGGCAAGCCTGGCAACGGTCTCGCACTGCACAATGGCGGCGGTGGCGTCGGCGGTGGCGGTGGGGGTGGGGTTGGTGTTGGGGGTGGCAACGGTGGTGGAGCAGCACCATCAGCTGGAAATGCTGGCACCGTTCTGGACGATGACGACGATCTGCCACCGCCTCCGCCGGCGATAACCGACGAGAGCAACTATGCCGTAACCGAGCTGTAAGCGCAGCTGTGCAAAGAGATTTGGTTATACAACCAGGATGTGCCCCAGACCTGATGGCATTTAGTAACATTTTGAGTGTTCCTTGGTTCTTGATTTGCATTTCGAATCCTAATCCTCTCTTATGCATCCTACCAATTAGGGCTAGCCAAACACACAAAAAATGAAACGAAAACAAAAATACTTGAAACTGATGGAAATACAACCCAACTACTCGACTTTTGTATATATACAAACACACACGACTACACAAATCCTAACTATTATACACACATACACATACATATGTATCTATGACATTTACTAGACATACATATACATATATGTATACATATACACACAATATTTAGTACGAATATTCTTTTTGATAATAGGCATTTTTATGATCGCAAAATTTTTATTGTAACAATTTTAGCTGGAAACAGAGGCAACAGAAGCATAACAAGAAGATGATAAAGAAGAAGAAGAAGAATAGGAAGCCAAAAGAGGAGCTGAATATATGCAAAGAACACAAGCAAATATGGGAAAAACTTATTGTATTATATAGCAGTTATATACATAGTTATATGTAGAAGTGTAGGCCGGAACTACTCAAAAAAAAGAAAAAAAAGAAAAGAAAATATATAGATAACATTGCTTCTGCCCCTCTCTCCACGCAAAAAAATACTATTAGTGGTGGCTCTCTAGTTATAACATTCAGAAATTAGTATTGTTACTGAAAATACTAAAGACCACTTTTTTCTCTTTATTGATTTATTTTTTTAAAACAAAAATGTTTCATAACCTCAAAAAGCAGCTAGCGAGAGCGACCGTTAAAACACATAACGGTTAAGAGAGGCAACAGATGATGGTCGGGGAGGGGGAACAGCAGCAGAGGGCATCGCATGAGTGAACGTTTTTCAAGGCATTTTGTCGAGTCAATTTTTTTCCAAAAATATGATCGCGAATGGCCGGCTTTGGTCGGTTGTACGCTAGGGTGTGTGTCTGTGTGTGTGTGCGTGTCTGTGTGTGTGTGTGTGGCATGAATGTGCGAAATCTCTGATATTTTGGAACTTGTGGAAGGAGGGGGGGGGGACGGGTTGAGTGGGTTATTTGGGTTGTGCGCCAGGTTAGGATCCGGTTAGAGCTGTTCGGACCTTGCGATTTTATTGTAATTAACCGTAAGCTTAACAACAATTGCATTTATTAACAATTTAAACTAAATACTTAGCACATTCCGAGTGCGCATATACATACATATACATATACAAACATACTATATACATATGTAGCTATACAAGTAACTGTATATTTAATAGCAGTAGCTAAACGAAAGTCGAAAGCGTAGCCTAAAACAAAAACTGGACTATATATGCATATGCATTTATCCAGATCGTGTGTAAACAGATAGCAATATAAAAATTTATATAAAAAAAAGTACTGCCCCGACATTCGGCTGAGCCGAAGCAAACCGCAAACCGAGAACACAAAAAAAAGACGCAAACAAATACTAAACAGTTATAAATGATATATACATATATATACATAACTTATATATATGTATATATATATGGACTACCGCAATATGATAATGTACTTACAAAGAAATAAAACTCAATACTTGTGTAGTTAGTTAGCGGAGTTGTTAGTGGAATTCTATAAAAAAAAAACAAAAACAAATACAAATAAAAGCAAAACAAAACAGTGTGACCAGAGGTCAGGCTAAAGCCCATCAACTAAAAAGTCGCTTGAACACTGCCCGACAAGTCAGTGAGTTTTTAACACACACACACACTCACACACACACACACACACACACATATATATATATATAAACTACATTAACAGTAAAGCTAGATTTATTACTAGACTACTACTGTACACTATATAGAGCACATCGGGAATGATCAATTGTATAATATATATATGTATAAATATATATATATTTATATATATATACATATGTATGAAGCATATAAAGCGTAAACGAAAACGAAGTGACAAAAGCAAAAAACAAAAGAGAAAAAAACAAAAAAAGAAGAAAAACCAAAAGAATTTCGAACATTTATTCGATAAACTTAAACTTTTAAGTATTAATACTTATACTGTATAGAACTGTAAAGTAACTTCAAACAAAAACGACCGAATCAAGTTTTTTTATTCGCTTATATACAATTACAATACATAATGTTATAAATTATTGAAAGATACGGCACGAGCATAGCTGTCCCACGCCCCCAATCCACCATCGAATTTCGAAAATGCAAAGAAAAATTAAATACCTATTCGGTTGATCGAATATGAAATATATCCTTGCAGGCATACGTATATTTAGGACAGATGTGCGACAATGTTAACTCTGATCTTTAAGAATTTCTAGTCACTGTGCATAAAATCTATAAATCTATATACTTCATATAGTACTATACTGTGCATACAAAGTTTTCCAATTTAACTTTTCTATATATCTATATACTTTATATAGTATACTTTACTGTGCACAAAAAGTTTTCCAATTTAAGTTTTCTTGCGAAAACTCTATTTTCAAGCAATTTTTCTTTTGGAAAAACTTGGAAGCTTTACACAAAAGAAAGTTATTCCTAAAATCATTCACAAATCGTTCTTGATGAGAGATATACATGGGCAGGCTTACATGGTAAATTAATCGACCTAATCAAGAAGAGAAGAAGAGAATTTTCGGAAAATATATTCTTATTTTCAACATAACCTGCATTTATGGGGTATTTATTGCCGCAGTCCTCCGATTTTGGTATGCTTTTCCAGCAGAATGATTTCTCAGGGCTCTCAAACTTGACATAAACTTCGCAGACGATCTATCAACCCGTTTGCAATCCCCATTTCCTTATGTTTGGAAATATAAATCGTATAATGGAATGACATTATCTGGCTAACTCTAGCGCATCTGTGCCAAGTTTTGGGTACATGAAATCGGCTTGTATACCCGATTTAAAATCACATACATATATGTATATAAACGCACTGCGGGGATATAATTGGGAGAAGTCTATAATAGACAAGCAGATTTAAAGGCATGATGGCGCAACTAGAACTTTGGGAATGGGCTGGAATGGACTTGCGACAGAAGCTGATCGAAGAAGCTATATATACACACACATAAATACATACATATACATATATAACACACTAGCTCGTAAATATATTTCTGTGTTAAATGTTGTCATCGTACGCGTTGTAGTTATTAAAGGGAAAATACAAAAAAAAAAGAGAACGAAACTTTAGGAGCTGGGAAACCTTTCGGGAATGTAGAGGCGGCTGGCATAGGCCGTCGCGGGGCGCGGCAAGATCAAGTTGTACAACATATGCAAACATTTAGTGTATATGCATAAATAGTTAAAGACAATGTAAAGAAGCGGCAGAAGCAGAAGCTTAAACAAAAAAAAAAAAAAAAAAAGAAATTAAAGAACAAAACAAAAAACAAGAAAAACATTAAAATTCGTAGGCAAAGTCGAAAGCAAAATGAAAAACAAAAAAAAACTCGCATACCTAAAAATTCGATTAGGTTCGGAAAATCGCTTGCGAAGCAATTTCACAAAGTTGCGTGGAATGGAGTTCGGGAACTAAACCGATTGAAGGGTATATGATATTTTATGCGCAACAAAGTAGAAACTACATAAAAAAATATATTAAAAAAACCAACATAAAAAAAAAACAAAAACAAACAATCGAACGGCACAAAACCCGACAAAAATTTCATTCAAGCAAAAAGCGGCAAACATAAAAAAACGCTAAAAAACGAAAAATATTAATAAAATAAAATAAAACGATAAAATTCAATTATTTAACGAGTTTTACTGATCTTTGGATTTCTAATGGTATTTGGACTTGGGATAAGATATACTTGGAAATGGGAAATTGGAAATTCTTCAAACACATTTTTGTCTTTCACTTAAATTTCGTATTTATATTTGGGCGCACTCACGAATGTTAGTAAATTGATAATATTGTAATAAAAGGTTTTCATGTTTAAGAAGCTTTTGCTTATGATTTGGATAAAGGTTTGTTTTGATTAAAATACGTACAAGCAAGGCTATCTTGAATGAATGAGAATCACATAGTAAGGCAATCGATAAAAATACTTATTTATTTTACTGCGTCTGCGTTATAAGTGAAAATTCATTTGATACGTTTTTCGCTCTTGGTTGGCAAATGCGGGCCAAAGGTTTAATAAACGAAAGTTTATTTTTCGACTTCTAGATTATTATTGATTCCAACTTATGACTCCGTATTCGACTTCCACATTTTTTCAAGAAGTGGAGTTCACGATGGAACGGGCAGAATTCCATTTTCCACGGGCGAAAACTGAATGAAAAAGTAATTAAACGGGCAAGGCCGTGTAATATCCGCTAGTACCTATATAAAGAAATACATGTGTCAATACATTCAATTATAGCAAATGTGTTCTACATTTGCTTTAGGGAACATATACAGTGAGTATTACCCGGCATTGCCCGGACCAAGTTTATATACCCCAAGCCCATTGCAAATGGAACGCGTATTTAATTATTTGCTTCGTAGAATTCTGAAATAAAGTTGAAGCCCAATGGACTTGCGTGCTTAAGACGGGTACCTACCATTTGTTAGAAAGCGTGAAAGATGTCACCAAGGAATTTTCACAAAGAACATTAAAAATGAGCAGAGACATGAGCGTCGATCGATAAATTAAGTGCTTGTGTGTGATTTTATTTTTGTAGGTACAGAGAAATAGGAATATATGGCCTATGTGTACAGGGTATCTTCCAGTCGGCCACCCCTGACAAGAACACTCAATTGGTATTTGCTTTCTTTCAAAAAGTAGCCATGTGCGCCCCGGTTAGGATCCGAGCTAACCTAACTTAAAGATTAAATGGAATCGAAGAGTGAGGCACTAGTCGCCCGTCTCTTTTTCTCATCTGAAGGCATATTGGAAATCTCTCTTTCTGGTTGTAATTACAATTATATTAATATAATAATAGCTACTATTATTATCACCAGTCGACCGTCTCTTTTTTGTCATCTGAAGGATTCTCTCTATGGTTGTAATTACAATAATATTAATCATGGTTATTTTCATTATCATTGTGCACATTCTCAGCGGCATACTTTATTTCAACTTGTATAATAAATATATTTATCATTTTAATATGTTCGCATATAATATATATACATATATATGTATGTATATATATATATTAATTGTATGTTTTTGATTTCACTTAGCGCCTAAACAAATTAGATTAGAAAGGTGCAAATTATTGCTACGCACACAATCGAACATCGTCCAATTGTCCTTAGTCTATTTAATTGAATTAAAGGTACTTGCATGCACAGACAAACAAGTCCAGAATATAAAACAAAATCGAATAAGGACAATGGAATTCAAGTAAAAGGATATTCAAAACGCCCTACAGATGAGAACAACAACAACAACGATGCAACAGAAAAAAAATAAAAATATATATGTATATGTGTATACATAACACATGAATAATAAATTGGTTAAAAATACATATATGTATATATAAGAATAAATGATAATACAATAGATGAATATAAGTAAAAAATACATAGAAGCAAAAGTGCTTTATAGCATGTGGAACATCAAATGCTGTCCCAGCTCTCGTCTAAGAAGAGTTCTTTGGAATTACAGAATTGCTTTTGGAGTTTTAAGGTTCTTTTAGTAAGTTATGTTTAATGCTTATGCTTTATTGTGTCTGCTGTTTGGAAAAGGATGTGTGTGTCAAATGTGTGTCGCTCTGCTAGAGTGTGCCGTTGTTCTTCATAAGCATTCGCTCTGTGCCTGGACCAAAGTCATTTAGTTATTTATTGTTTATTGCACTATTGACAGCCACCAGCTCGGGCACCGATGAGGATCCGGCACTGCTTTGGCTAACAGTGCGTGCATGGTTTTCCACATGGTTGCCGATCGCCGCTGCTGCAGCTGCCGCTGAGGCCGTCGCCGATATTGGCGGAGATGTGGCAGCACCAGCTGCTGCTGCTGCTGTTGCTGCTGTTGCTGCTGCTGCTGCTGCAGCAATCGGCGATGCTGATTCCTGCGCCTCAGCAGTCACAGGCTCCACGGTTGGGAATACGGGCGGTGTGGCCGTAGACACAACAGGTGTCTGTATCATGGGCGTCGGCGGCGAGCGATTCGCCGGCAGCTGATGTGCCGTTTCGCCTGACATTTGCATGTGGTATCTGTGGTAAGCGAGAGAAAAGAGAGCACATTGGAGTGGCCGGAGTTGCTAGCGAGCTGTGCTGCCCAAAAACTTACTTGTAAATGTTCTCGGTACTCTCGACCACGCCCTGGGTCAAATTGAGGCTGCGCCCCTTGATGCCCGACTCCTTGGCAGGCGGTGACCACCAATTGAAGACGCGCCCCACAACTGGTACATGGCGCAGTATGCCCTCCTGCCAGAGTTTCTCCTCGGACTCCCGCTGCAGATCCGCTGTGGCTGCCTCAATGCCCTACAATTGAACAGTTGATTAGTTTTAAGCTACAAGAGTTCATTTTATATTTGTGCGTGTTGATTTATACCTTCTTAACAATTTCCGACATGGTGTCGAGGACGCGCGAGTTCTCCTGCACACTCTTGCCAACGGTGACAACCAGATCCAATAGCTCTTCGACCTCCGTCTCGTGCGTGACCATGCCGAAGCGCACACAGATTAGTCCGTCGGTGCCCTCGCCCAGAGAGAAGGCATTGTCCGTTGACTTGAGCGCTTCCACCAGATCGATGTTCAGCTTGTTCAGTTCCGTTTTGGCCTGATCCGTCAGCAGCGATTCCCAGCCCTCGGGCACAAAACGTACACCGCCCATGCCCGCCCATTCGGGCAGTGGCACGAGCCTCAGCACCTCGCTGCGCTCCACCAAATGCATAAAGCGTGCCTTGTGCTTGATCGTGGCGCGCAGTATATCAACATGCGCCTCCAGGCTTTGCGCAAAGCTCTCCAGATTCTCCGAGCTGGGCGGCTGCTCGCCCAGACCCAGCTCCAGCGGACAGTAACGGATGCAGCTGCCATGTGTTGGATGCTCAATCACCTCAAAATCAAACTAAAACCAAATGAACGCAAAATTATATTTCAATCCCAGCCAAAAGCTGACGACTTGGACACAGGCACTCACATTGGGACAGTCGCGCTGCAGTATCTGACCCAGCCAAGAGTTCAGGCGATCAAAGTACGAGGCATTGTTAACTTTCTCCAGCGGCCTGAGGCCCGTTTCGGCAGTTGGCTCCGCACCAGATGTAATTGGAATGGTTGTGCTTCCATCGAACTGATAGACGACCACAGGAGCAGCCGCATCGAACAGGGCGTTCACATCGAAGGCGCTGTTAATAATGTCCGACAGAGCGGCGCCCGTCTGAGCGCCAGGCGTGTGACTCTATAAATATTGCAAGGGTAAGATTTAGAGCAGGAGTTGAGCGGGGCATTCGGCAAAGTGCTGGTACCCTGCATATAATACCCAAAGGGAAGAGGAACTGGATAAGGTTTATATTGACTAAGATTTAATTGCAGCAAGAATCTTTCATATGGTCATCATCTTTGGTCTGATTATATCCCACATATAACTTATGAATAGATGGCTATTTAAGTTTGCATCTAATTTGTATTCATATCTCTGTTATTTCAATTTGCTAGAGCACGAATCGAACTTCTTTAATTCTAAGGAATGTTGTGAACAAAATCACCAATCACGCTAAACGATGCAAGCCGGGTTTGAACCGAACTCCAGTTCAAACTATGCAATATGAGCTACCTAGGAACCGAAAAAGTTGCCAAATCGTTGCTAGAGATCGGTCGATGACTCAGTTCTAACATTAAAAACTTGTTTAGTTCTGGGGGATATTGGGAACGAAAACACAAATCAAGGATGCAAAACTGGGTTTGAACTGAATACCAGTTCAAAATATGGCATATGAACATTTTATGAATCGAAGCTATTGCCAAGAAAAGGCGAACCGAAACATATTTTTGTTAAAATACATTTTTTTATTAGACAGCCCTAAACAAATTTAATTTTTGGAAATGGGTTCAACAACTGATCATAAACCGAACCAACGAACAAATTTTCTTTTGTTGTTATTTCATATCACATATCTGTTGAAAGTTGACATCTAAATATTTGATTCAAAATCTATAACGATCTGTAGTCGGAGCTAGAACATTTAGCTGAGCATTTGAAAATCTGATAAATTAGGAAATTAGGCTCCTGAACCAATGGACGACAGTTATATTTCGTCCGATTGACATCAAATTCAAATTCAACGAGAAAGAAGGGCTATCTTCGGCACGCCGAAGATTTAATACCCTTGCAGACCCAACATTTTCATAATGCTCATGGTGCTTTGCCCGTCTCTAAGAAGCACGGGGAGAATAGTTAATGCCGAGTATGGTTAAAATATCTTAAAAAACAAAAAAGTTTTCCATACAACTAATTTTTGACCGATCGTTCCTATGCCAGCTATATGATATAGTGGTGCGATGTTGATAGGATTTTGCAAATATATGAGGAGCATAGTAAAACTTATAAATGCCGAATTTGGTCAAGATATCTTGATAAACAAAAATGTTTTTCATACAAGAACCTACTTTTCGACCGGTCGTTCCTATGGCAGCTATATGATATAGTGGTCCGATCCAGCTGGTTTCGACGTATGTACTGCGTGCATCAGAAAGAGAGACTAGTTCGCATAGAAACAGGCAGACGGATATATCGACTCAGCTGTTGATACTGATCGGAGATGTCGCCTTCTATTCACGACAAAATTACAATACCCTCTGCAAGGGTATAAAAAGCTTTATATAAGCAAGAAGGATTGTCTATTTTTAGCACGCCTCAAATTAAATAGCCTCGTAGACGTATGGCTAGACCTTATTTCGGAACGATTGTTTCTACAGAATGTGTATGATATAGTAAGCCGATTTGATACGGTTATGCAGATATGTTGGAAGCATAGTGAGGCTCGTATTTGCAGAGTTTGGTCAAGGCTTCTAGAGAGACAGACAACTTTTTAATAGAGTTACATGATATACTGGGTATAATAAAGTTCTTAAAACCCTCCTTTAGTTAGGATATCTTTAAAAACAAAAAAGGTTTTTCATACAAGAATATATAATATAGTGGGTCAATCCGGCCGGACATAAAGACGGAAGTCGCTGACGATTTACAGACGAACAGACAGACAGACAGACATGGCTACATGGTCTCACCTGCTTACACTTATTAAGAATATAAATACTTTATGGGATTAAAAACGTCTTCTTCTAAGCGTTACACATTTCGTGACAAAATTATAATACCCTGTATAAGGGTATGAGCGGAAGAAGGAAGTCAAAATACTTTATCCGGATAAAGCAGGGAAGGCACCTCGTCGTTAACCATTTAATACTAAGGCCAAGGAGTCTGGTCTACGATCCTAGAGATACAATTTTGAATTTAAATATAGTTTTGGCCAGCAGAATTATGATAGGGAATATTTGTTTGGGAAAATCATATTGTATGAAGGGCACCATGGCGATTATGCAATGCGGTTAAAGGTTGCTACGTTACCAGCACACGGATGCCCTCGCACTTGGAGGCGATTTCGAAGAGAATACTGCATGTCTGGAATGCGACGTGCAGCCGCTCGGCGATGGCCTTTCTGCCGAGCGCCTGCAGGCTGGTCCACAGCGAGAGAGCGTTGAGCCGTCTCGAGAGGATTGGGTCCGATTCGAAGGCACTCAGCGCGCTATTCTGCAGCGGTCGATGGAGCAGCACAATAGGTAAACTGGGCACGCCCAGCCAGCTGCCCAGATTGAGCGCCATGGAGTGCAGGACATCGTGCACATTGCCCGGACTCTGGGCGCAAACGAGAGCGGCCAAGCCATGGCCACTGGCATGCAGCCACATGTTGTGCGCCTTGCAGACGTCACGCAGCCTCTGTAGATTGTCTACGTAGCCACAGAGGGAGGCTCCAATGTCGGCGACCACCAACAGCGGCGTACGGCTGGCAGCCAGATCCAGCTGCACCTGCTTCTGCAGCTGGGTCAGATCCATGGTGCCGTATTTGCTGTGCTCCGGTATGATTTTAATGGCGTCCAGCGATATGCCCAACTGCCTGCAGGCGTACTGCAAGCGCACCGGCGTCGTATTCTCCGAAATGTAGAAGCACGGCTGGGCCAGAGCTGGTATACCGCCCTCTAAGTAGCCCGGGCAGCGAGCCACAATGGCCAGTCGAACGGTCCGCAGGACGGCATCGGCGTTGTCCGCATGAAAACTGCTGGCGGCATTCCCAAAATGGAATAGGGTGCCCAGCCAGCGTGTGGCATCGCCGGAGATGCTGTTTGTAACACGCAGCAGATGCTGGCGATCCAAATGCGACAGGTAGGCGACAATGCTGTGCGAGATGAGCGCCAAATGGGAGACATCATCGAGCGCGGGCAACGGAAACTCCGGATCATCATCGCTGTCCGAGTAGGCGACCAGCTGTTCCAGCGATTTAAGTATGTCCGAAGGCACGCGATGCTCCTGACGCAGCTGCGTGGACAGCGCAACATCAGCGGCAGCTTCTGGGCCACGCTGCTCCTGCTGTTCCTGCAACGACTGATTGTCGCCAGAGCTATGATTGTCAGCAGCCTCTGTTAACACTTTGCTCGGCGAGCCGGGCACGGCCTTAACATTCTCCAAGCGCTGCAGCACCTGGCTGGAGCGCAGCTCCAGTTCAGCCAAACCGGAGCGTATCTAAGGTGTAAACAAATAAAGCACGCATCAACATCAAGAACAACAACAACAACAACAATATCAACAGCAATAAAATCAATAATAATACGTCGACGTGTCTTCGTCGTCGTCATCAAATGCCAACTTACGCTGGATGCGGCGATTTCGGCCACTGCTGGTGTAGCCGTTGCCGTTGCCGTCGCCGTCGCCACCGTCGACGTCGTCGCTATCGTTGTGGCTGCCGTCGCTGACGTTGTTATTGTTGGTGTTGCTTCCGATGTTGACGGCGGCAGCTGTGGCTGCTGTGCCTCGGCAGCAGCGCTTGGCTCGTCATCAACTCCAGCCGCTGACATTTCGATTGGTTAACTTGGCAAAATTGTCGCTGGCTTTTCTTCTCGTTCTCTGCTTGTTTTTCTGTTATTCTAGCTGATGTGGAGTTCTACTATTGAAATACCCCAAAATTGGGTATTTCTCCTTTAGTGCAATTGCGGTCACACTCCATTCAAATGGGCATTAAGGCCAATCGGTGCGCTATCGATAACATTGCGCTGCATATCGATATTGCTTAAAACGAGTTGGCAGCAGTGCGCCAAACGGCGCCAATTTCGAATAAATTTCGAATAAGTGCCAAATGCCAGTTGTAGTCTTTTTTCGTTTACGAAGCAAATAACATTCGCAATAGCAATGACAGAGCCACTAATGCGAATTTGCAGCTTGGCATTTGTTGCGACATGTGTTTGTCATTTGCCTTGGCACAGGCACTAAATAAAATGCAACTTTTGCGAAACTCGAGCAACATATGTATGCACATATATGCGACTGGATTATGCAAGCACGGACATAAAACGAACGGAGGGGAACCCTTCCAATTTTGCATAGCAATATGTGCATACTTACACACACACGCACACACCAATGTAGCACGTGTGTGCCTTGGCGTACCCAGCAGATCCTTGCAGAATATTTTGCCCAAAATAGGCCTTTTCTCTTATACTCTTTTATGCATGCATGTAATCAGCTTCAACTGATCTTGTAGGTGTAATAATAAGCAGGCCAGCTTGAGCTTCATGCTGGTTGTTTTTTGTTGTTTAAATTATGTCCAACCAACCATCCAAATAACATGGTACATGGAACATTACCAAAAATGGTGGATTGTTAGTTCAGCTACTTCAAGAACCTCACGGTTCTGTCATCAGCAGACTTTGGTATCAAAGTCGCCCTTCGCCATTGCGAAGCTTAAACTTGTTGGGAATCGCAAGCATCAAGTAGCGAAATAACAGTGAAACCTGGAGTAAGTGAAATAATGTTGATTTTTCTGAATAAATGGCCTTAATACAATTGCTCATGTTTTAGGTAAATTTTATATGACTTGCATTTGTCTTCTTCTTGTATACCTTCAGCATGTAGAGCTCGGCAGCCAACGCCTCATGTCATGCGTTTATGCCTTCCACCGGAATGCCTTCTGGCATGCAAAATTCAAATTAACTTGAATTTGATTACAACAACAAATAGCTTATTGTTTAAATAAAATAAACTTATTCGATTGATTAAGACTTCGAAAAATTCATGTCGCGAGCAGTGCTTTTGGGTGGCACACGAGTCCTACTGGGCGATATGTATGTTTGCATATGTACGTATGTCATACATGCATGCATGTATGTATATACATATTTACACTTGTAATCAAAATTTCCATGTGTGTGTGTGTGTTTGTGTGTGTGTATGTTGTGCGTCTGTAGCTTTTCACTTTATTCATGCATAAGCTTGCTGAGAAAGTTTCGCGCTTGCTGCAAACTGTTTGCCTGCTAAAAGTTGCCACGGCATTGGGTGGGATTTGCGAAAAACAGAGGCACACACATCCAACCCGCCCGCACGACACATGCAAATAACATATCGATGCTGCTTTTTCAAATAGCACCACTCGCTGCCCCGCCCCCGCGCAGGGCAACGTTTCCGCCTGGGCTGCATTGGGCTTCCCTTGTGGCTTTGGCGTCTGTTGTGCCGGGGATTTGCGACGGAGCCGCCGGAACGTGCCGCTGCACATGCGTCAATTTGCCCTGGCAGCCGCAAGGCCCCAGTCACCACCCCCCCTAAAAAATGCTTCCACAAGTAAAGCGTTCCCCTCGCCTCGACCACGCCCCAAATCCCCTAGCATATACCCTTTAAAATTGCAGGCCCTGAACTTGTGCTCAAGAACTTAGTCTAATCATTATTATCTAATGCGGGCGCTGGGCGTGGCCAGCGCAACACGCATACATACACGTACGTACGTGTATTTACATGCGCGTCATAAATTAAACAATTTCGCTTGATTAAAACAGCCGCAACGCTTAAATACACACACACATGCATTTGCACCATAAATTATGAGCCTTCATGAATTTGTTGTCTTAGTTTGGCGTAAAACAAAGGGTATATTGGCTTTGTCTGTCTGAGCCTCAGTCCAAGCTGAGACTATGAATCGCAGCTGCAGAGATGAGGAAGACGAAGAACATGTTGAGCACTTCTTCCGCTTATGTCACCGAACAGTGCAGTTACAAGAATTTTATCATTATCATTATCATTATCATAATCATAATCATAATCATAATCATAATCATAATCATAATCATTATCATTATCATTATCATTATCATTATCATTATCATTATCATTATCATTATCATTATCATTATCATTATCATTATCATTATCATTATCATTATCATTATCATTATCATTATCATTATCATTATCATTATCATTATCATTATTATTATCATTATCATTATCATTATCATTATCATTATCATTATCATTATCATTATCATTATCATTATCATTATCAATTTCATTATCATTATCATTATCATTATCATTATCATTATCATTATCATTATCATTATCATTATCATTATCATTATCATTATCATTATCATTATCATTATCATTATCATTATCATTATCATTATCATTATCATTATCATTATCATTATCATTATCATTATCATTATCATTATCATTATCATTATCATTATCATTATCATTATCATTATCATTATCATTATCATTATCATTATCATTATCATTATCATTATCATTATCATTATCATTATCATTATCATTATCATTATCATTATCATTATCATTATCATTATCATTATCATTATCATTATCATTACCATTATCATTATCATTATCATTATCATTATCATTATCATTATCATTATCATTATCATTATCATTATCATTATCATTATCATTATCATTATCATTATCATTATCATTATCATTATCATTATCATTATCATTATCATTATCATTATCATTATCATTATCATTATCATTATCATTATCATTAGCATTAGCATTAGCATTAGCATTATCATTATAATTATCATTATTATAATCAATATGCTTCTATGCCTTTGTCTGAATCTGAATTGGTTCCGGGCTCAAATCTGTTCTACATCTATTTCTGCTACAGTTCGAAAGGCACTGTTTCTGAGTCGTCGCTTTCAGAATAACTCCTTGCTGCCTACAGGGTATTGCACGGTCAGGAGAGCCTCGCAGCAAATTCATGGTGTTTGTTGTTATTCGGTGTTGTTCGCCTGCCACAATTCATATAAAATTAGTTTGCCAGCGCAAATAGTTGCAACCAACAATTGTCGGTCAAAAGCAGTTGAGGTAAGAGGAACGAGTCGTGGTCGTAAGGAGTGGGGGGCGGAGGCTGGAGTGTGCTTCAAAAAGGGTGTGAGGTCTATGTCCAGTTCGTTAATTCGTAGTTGCTTTTTTTTGGCCCTAAAAGGGTTGCGCCTTTTTCGATTTGTCTGCAGCCTGCGTGGGCTGATTATATAAATTGCGTATACGCCGCGTTGCAGCAAATAATTTATGAGAAACACTCACACGCACAAGCCCACTCCCAGAGAGAGACAGAGAGAGAGAGTAGTGGTAAAAGTAAACACACATGTGCGTATTAAGCTTTACCTCAAACATCTATGCCAAGGTGCAAAAAAAAGGCTCAAGGCCGCAAACAGCAGCACTTTAATTTTCACACACACCCACACGCGCTCAGAGTGGGTGTGCGTGTATGAATGGCAGAGGTGCAAAGTAGTTGCCACTTAAGAGGCAAAAAAAAACTAGAAAACTTCAAACAAACAAGCGGCAGGCTGCGTCAGGATTTGAAGAGCTCAGCCCGTGAAATGGGCAAGAGGTGGGCGGCTGGGCGTGGCCCAGGCTCTGCAGACAGACTACACTAAAAAACAGCTAAACTGGGGGGCGGTAAGCAGGCGGAAGGGGGACGGTTTACTGGGGAAGGGGTTGCTGTTGCAAGCTGCACTTCAGTACAGTTCAGTTCACCTGCAGTTCGGTTGACTTTGGATCCGTGCAAATTGACGACACATATGCATATGAGAGGCTAAATGAGCAGAGGGCCACGCCCACCTGTCGCTTGGTGACACGGCATTTTATTCATTTTTTTTTCAGTGCAATAACAGGTGATGTCTGGCATTTAATTGGCAGTGAGAGCGAAGCGAGCTGATGAGCAACAAAAAAATATACAACATACATATGTATGTATTTATGCCAGGATGTGGGGTGCCAGGGTTGGGGTTTTCGTGCTGGGCGTGAGTGGCTACGAGTGGCCAGCACAATGTGAATACATCAGCAGGAAAAAACAAACCATTTGTCAGGCGGACAAGCACACACGATCACACACATGCACATATATAAAAACACACACACACACACACTCGCAATCGCACACGAAAAGGCATACATTGTGAAATTGACAACATATAAAAGTGACTGCGGGTGTGTGTGGCATAGAAAGCCAAGAAATGGACACACACACACGCACATACAGTCATGGCCATACAAATAGCACAACTGAACTTTATAGTAAAATAATTGATTTGTTATGCATTTGCATTCAATCAAACAAATTTAATGATCGTAGATCGAAGAGGCCACTTTTCAAAAATGAACTTATTTTTTAGGATATACATACAGGTCTGTTTTAATGGATTGTGTACTTGAATATTGATAACTTCATATTTAGGACCTACAACCTCTACGACCTTTCCTTTAAAAAGGCGTCCTACGGTTCTTCTACTTCCATCTTTAGAAATCATTGAAATCCTAGCAATTTTTGCTTGTTGATCATTGTTTTTCAATAGGTTCAAGATCGTGGCCTTAAGCCGGTCGCCCATCATTCTGTTTTTTCCACTTTTAACAAACTTTGCCGTGAGCTTGGCTAAACTATAATACATGACAGTTCATGGGGTAGGCGTATTTTTCAAAAGAAATTTTGTGCTTAACTATTTTGAGATATTGTACACGTTTTGTTATAACATTTGTAGGAATAGGGAACGCACTTTATGCCAGTAAAAAGTCGGTCCCCAACATTATATTGCTAGCTGCATGAATGATTGTTTTTGGTTGTGCGATTTATATGGGCATGACTGTATATACTATACGGTTAGGCAA